TTCCAAGATTAAAGGCATTAAAGGTTTGTTTTATAAACTAAGTTCAAGATGCTTTGGAAAATGTAATACGGAAGGCCAACGGCATTTATCATGTGTGTTACGTTCTCTCGTTATACCAGTTTGCCGACTTACAGGGATGATAAACCGAAATTTGGATTTAAAAAAAGCAATGCAGGAGATGTAGGCGGGACGCTACAATCCCTACAATACTACTCGTAAGGCGATATCTCGAATGGGCGGCCGTATTTTTGGAAAAAGAGGTCGAGATTGAAGCAGGCGGACGAGGCGCGTGACGTCGAGATATCTCGTTTCCTCCTCTCTTCGCTTCACACCCTCAAAGCGGCGAGGCGGAGAAGACGTGTGGCCGTTTCCTCTCCTTCTTGGAGAAACAAGACGTACCCAAAACTGTCAAATGCGCCTCCTTTTTTTTTTTTTTTTTGAAAAATACGGTTATTTGTTTGAGATATCACTGTATGAGTGATGTTTTGGTGTTTGTAGCATCCCGTTGCACGCTTTTGCCGCCGTGTTTTGTGGAATCCAGATTTCGGTTCAGCACCGCTTTAAGCGATTACTTTGCCTTATTGTCGCGCCCTATGGGTCTCTCTAAGGCATTTGTATTTCGCAATTTTAACACTATATTTATTTAATTAACCCTAGAGTTTCGAACGCAGAACACTTTTTCCTCATTATTGCTTGATGGGCCATATTACAAAATTTTCTTCAAAAACTATCACGAGAGATTATTCATTTTAAACTTACTAGATGTTGCTGTAACCGCGTCATCAAACGATGCCAGCTCTTGAGCTTAGTATCTGCCTTTAGGCTCTGGCGGAGAAGGTTTCTGATTACAGAAAAGAATTAGTTCAAACTTTTGCTATCAAGTGTTATAGGAGCGTACCAAGTGCTTGCTTTTGGTGCATGGGCGATCTGGCGCAGTTATGACGTATATATACATTAGTTTTACAGTCACCCAGAGGCAAACTTTTCGTGTTTTTATTCCACGGGGCAGCACTTAGTCCCAAATTTGGTTTTGTTTTAATGATAAGAATCATGCACAAGCACCTTCAAAAGTACACTAAGAAAAAGTATGTGTGTTTACTTTTCTTTGCAACATGGGCACAGCCAATCACGGCGAGATGTACCAGGGTCCCAGCCAATGAAGAAGTTAATAAAACAATTAAACCTGAAAAATAATCAGCGAGTGAAACGTCATACTCATTGACCATGCGCTCCTCGCTTTTTTTTTTCCTAATCGTAATCTGAGCTTCCTCATTCGTTGACACCTTATTATTGTTCACCGTGATTTGTTGTCTTAAGGCCTGCAAAGAAGTAAACTCATGGTCCTTTTTTTAGAGTGAGAAGGAAAGAGAAAAAATTAACTAAGAAAATGAAGCAAAAAAAAATGCGTTACTTATTACAGGCAGCATCGATAAAAATCGGTGCAAGAACTTACGCAAGAATTCTATTGCTTGAATTAGTATTTAAACAAAAAACTTCGTTGTCACAACGGGGGCTCTTTGCTTGTGTTACTTCGAACGTGAAAGGTAAAATGACTGAAACGTTGTAAAAAGAAGTAAATAAAAAATGAAAGTCGTTTTCAAATCTCTGTAATGTGAAACTACAGGGTGAAACAAGGAGACGCCAGGCTCTTTAAATCGACCGGAAAATTCGGTTTCTTAACCTATCGCGCTACGACTTTGTGCAGCGTTGCCCACAGATGGTGCTTTTTTTTTTTTTTTTTGTAAAATTTGCGAAGAGCGAACTTACCCGAGAAAAAAGTAAAGAAAGAAAAATTCTTAGCTCATATGGAAACGCAGCGACGCCACTGGTCTTCAAACAACACGGCACCGTTTCGCACGGAGGACAAGAGATGGCGCAAGCAGTCGCGACGCCAACTGCCGCCAACGATCGAGCATACGACGCCGAGAGCCGGCGTCTTTAGCAGAAAAGGAACTGCAGTTCCTTGTTGTTACCGCGCCTGTTTCTGTTTCTGCGACTGTCGCCGCCTGCGGAACGCGCGCCGCTTTTGAGTCGAAAAAATCATCTGCTAAAAAGGCCTCCTCTCGGCGCCGTATGCTCGTTCGTTGGCGGCGTTTGTTGCGCCATCTCTTGTCTCCCGTGCGAAACTGCGCCGTGTTGTTTGCACACCGGTGGCGTCGCTGCGTTTCCATAGGAGCTGAGCCTTTTTCTTTCTTTACTTTTTTCTCAGGTAAGTTCGCTCTTCGCAAATTTTACAAAACAAAATGCACCATCTGTGGGCAACGCTGCACAAAGTCGTAGCGCGATAGGTTGAGAAACCGAATTTTCCGGTCGATTAAAAGAGCCTGGCGTCTCCTTGTTTCACCCTGTAGAGCGCAGCTATTAAGGAAGAGGAGGGGAGGGTACGGAGGGGAGGGTATGCCCCTCCTCCTCATCCGTACTTTCCCATCTTCCTCCTCCTTCCCTCCTTCTCCTGCTTTCCTCCTGCCGCTGAACTTGTTCATATGTGACGTGCCAAGGGGTCATGACGTCATCTTCCACGCTAAATTTAGCGGGGAAACTGAATTGGTGTTGAGGTCACGTGACGTCAATTTTCGCGCTAAATTTAGCGGGGAAATTTAGCGAGAACGTTTTCCCTAACTTTGGCGCAAAAATTTACCGCTAAATTTCGGGGGAAAATTTCCCCGCAAACTTTAGCGGGGAAACGTCCCGTAATGCAACGCGCGCGGTTGCGCCGACGGCGACACGGACGGCGACGCTGCACAACCCGGAAACGGGCGCCAAAGAACTGCGCTCTAAAAAGAAATACCGAGTGTCTTCGCAGAACTCTTTTAATGCCTAACACACATTGAAACCAGAAACATTAATGAGGGCTCTAGATATCACGATAAGCTATCTGAAGCGTCTGTTCTCCCGCAAAGCATTTGCGGAGCCAATCGCTGTAATCTTCAGAGGGCGCGGTATGAATGAGGATGCTGGTAATAATATTAGACATCCGAAAACTGTCGGCGTTGTAGCACTGAGCACGGTGAAATGTCTTGCTGAGTGCCACAGCGCAGACGGATTCTTTTAACCATGTTATCAGCGCCGTCATACATTGAGTTAAGTGATTTTCGGGAAAGCAGCAGCTTCAGGTACGCTCCAGGGCGGGGAAAACACGAAGTGCGAAAACTACCATGACCCTCAATTTTTTTTTTTTTTTTTGTGTTCCTCTATATTCCGTTGGGACATTTTAAGTGTTTCCTAAAATATTGAAATTAGTGTAGCAGCAGTCCTTGCGGCTGTAAAGTGTAGTGCACACAACTGCCACTGCTTTCACGGCATTTGTGGCCGTAGTTCCTTTTCTTTGTTTTTAAGTTTTTCACAAGGCTATACGACAGGTTCTACCGCAGTTTCAACCCCTGATCATTTTGTTTAAATTCCGCTGATCGTACCTGGAAACCAGCTGTAATGCTTTGCATACTACTGGCTGTATATATGAAGAGGCCACATTTGATTCTACAGGGTGATTCAAGGAGACGCCAGGCTCTTTAGATCGACCGCAAAATTCGGTTTCTTAACCTATCACGCTACGACTTCGTGCAGCGTTGCCCACAGATGCTGCATTTTTTGTGTAAAATTTGCAAAGAGCGAACTTACCTGAGGAAAAAGTAAAAAAAGAAAAAGGCTTTGCTCCTATGGAAATGCAGCGACGCTACCGGTCTTCAAACATCACGGCGCCGTTTCGCACGGGAGACAAGAGATGGCGCAACGAACACCACCAACGAACGAGCATACGTCGCCGAGAGCCGGCGTTTTTAGCGTACGATCTTTTTGACTCAAAGGCGGCGCGCGTTCCCCAGGCGGCGACAGTCGCAGAAGCAAAAACAGACGCGGTAACAACAAGGAAGTGCAGTTCTTTGTCTACTAAAGACGCCGGCTCTCAGCGTCGTATGCTCGTTCGTTGGCGGCAGTTGGCGTCGCGACCGCTTGCGCCATCTCTTGTCTCCCGTGCGAAACGGCGTCGTGTTGTTTGAAAACCGGTCGCTTCGCTGCGTTTCCATAGGAGCTAAGCCTTTTTCTTTCTTTACTTTTTCCTCGGGTAAATTCGCTCTTTGCAAATTTAAAAAAAAAAAAAATGCACCATCTGTGGGCAACGCTGCACAAAGTCGTAGCGTGATAGGTTAAGAAATCGAATTTTGCGGTCGATTTAAAGAGCCTGGCGTCTCCTTGAATCACCCTGTATTTCGATTCATAAAAACAAAAACCCGAAGCGACAGGATAAAAATATTTCCGCGCCTTTTACATGTGTTACAATTCAGTTTTTTGTTGTCTTCTGGAACTATGTTTTCTGCCCTATTGTAAATTTTCTATGATTCGGCAGCACTGATGCGGTAGGGTGATGTTAATTTTAAATGTTGGTTATTGATTTCTTGAATGCTAAGAGGGCTCTCCTTCTGTGCCCTTTTTAGGTATTTACACTACCAAAACAGATGTCGGATATTTGGAGGTCTGCTTTTTGTGCAGAAAACATGTGTCGTATTTTTTGCAAGGTATTGGACGAAGGTGGTATCACCGTTCTTGTGGGTCTGCAGCGTCACTGTACACTTGACGCCCTGGAGAAACTTTTTGGTAGATGAGGGTCTTCTGGGAGAAGGGCCCAGACGGTCGCCTCACTTCGCGGTTTCTGACTTACTTGAATGTAGTGGAATACATTTTTATAACAAGTTTCATGTCAGCCAATAAGGTTTAGTTTCAACAAGAGCCCGCTCGTAAATCGTGAGTGTAATATTCACCTCAATGTTGGCGAAAACAGTTGCAGTAATGAAAAGAAGTGGTGAAAATAGTAACAATACCTTTTCGAGGCGTTAATAATTACATAACTTCAAACTCGTATTGGGTTGTGCTGGATCTTGGCAAAACAAACAGAAACGTTTCGCGAAAGTTACACTGTTTAAAGCGTTCCTACCGTGCTTAGTACGAGAATTCGAGCCACTTGTGTGCAGGCTGATATATTTCTCAAGGAAAGCACGAGACACCAGCCGAAGACTATAAAATTTATTATAATGACATAAAATGCTTTCTTCCGTCTTGACTGAATCGCCAGCTGATGAAGGTGTTTATTAAAGTGAGCCGCAACCCCAGCAGCGTCCCCTTCTCTCAGTTTGCCCTCAACAACGCCTACTAGCGTAGAGGTTCAGTTGTCAATGTGCCTACCCTCGCTATAGGCATATTTTGTTTACATCTAGAGAGGATACCTTAAAATTAAGAAAAAAACAACACAATCGGCTCCGTCTTGTCGAGACCGGGACAAAGGTGTCGGCAAGACCAGGAGGTCCACCGCTGATGCTGCGAATGTCCGGAGTTACAGCACCGGTGCTGAGGTTTCGGGGCCGGCCGGGGAGCGCGGCACTGATGAGGAGCATGTTCTCGAAGCCGTTCGTCTAAGAGTCGTCGGACGAAGAGGAGCCAGACTTGCCGCCCTTCTTGGGGTTCTGGTTCTGGGCCTTTTTCAGCGTCTTCACGTCCAGGTCACCATAGTAGTTTTCGCTGCGATAGAAAGGAAACACGGTGTGGTGTTGGGATAGGCACTGCCCCTGTTTCACTGAACAATACGTTAGAGTTGCATGTAATTTCTTAATTGCGTCCGTCAAGTTTGATGCAGGGTTCGTAGGACTCAGCAACAGCTCCATAATGGGTTTGGCCTGGGCGAGCCACGCGTGCAGAGGCAGCTGTTTAAATAAACACGCTTTGCACCTGGGTCTGGTATGAGTTATGAACGGCTACATGCTTGCATTAAACAAATATAATGCGTAAGTTTTATTTACACACGCGGATTATGCAAATTCGTGGGCTCCTGCGGAATCGTTCATAAGTTTTATTTGTAATAAACAATCTTGAAAGGCTTTTAATCAGTGTTTACATCTATTCATTTTTGATCAGACACTTTGAGCGAAAATCCCGCGTCATACCTGAGCTATTTAATTCTCCCTCGAGGCAGTTTCATAATGCGATAATTAGGGCATATTTGTTTTCACCTTAATCTCGTCTGCTATATTACGTAAACAGTGCAGAACTCTGCACATTAAAACAACGCTGGATAAAGGTATGTTTTAAAACGGGTTGCGGAAAGTTTATGTTCCAGCCAGTCAATGTTTAAAAAAATATAATAGATTTACTTTTGGATGTCTGCGGAGGTTGTTGCTGAGTTTTTAAAGAATACTTTTGCGCACGTTTGATTGTTTTTACCTACAGAACCACCGCAGTGAGACTGAGCACAATATTGTTCTTCAGTATGCGGAACAGTTTTTCTCGGATGGGAAAGTAACAAATTCGCCACACGCCAAAAAGTTCCTTTCTCAGCGTTCTCCAAGCTTTCGAAAATACTTTTTAAAGGTTAGTCTAAACGGTCTAGTGGAGGTATGGCTGAGAAATGTGGGTCAACCCTGCAGTTTTGTGCGTCACGTTTAAAAGCATTGTCTCTTCTAGGAGTGTGGACTCTTGAGATAGAACCACACCAGTCCAAAAGCTTTTGTCAGATCGAAAGTTGATAGTGTTTTGTAGTTTTTTCTTTTTCGTGTGTTCATGCGGGCTCTGTGATCGTCCTTGAAAAACAGGATGTACGTTCTACAGTGTGGTTTTGTGTACATATGGAGGGTGATTCAATAAAGTATACAGCTGTGTTAGAGACGCCGTCTTTCCGTGTTTTTTTTTTTTCTTCCAATGTCAAAATCCCCCCTTTCTCTAGTTTTGGGTTAAATACACAATTTCAAAAGCGATTTGTGCGAATCTTTTTACATTAAAAAATAAAAGCTTTAGTTTCAGTCATCATTATCACCTTGAAGAACAGAAATATTCCACGTCGGCACACCCCCTAGGCGTAAAAAGACAACAACATAACAAGGCCGTGGGGCTCCATCATCCACGTATGGGACACGAGAGCTGCATCTGCGTTCGGCCGAAACTCGTGTTCAGTCGGTAAGAACACGAGTTTCAGCCGGACCTTGTCCCAATACCGGTGTCCTCTTTGTACCTGGCGCTGGCCTCCGTTAAATGACGCCGAGAATGCAGCGCTCCGGCCTTCTGATAAAGAAAGTGTTGCTGGAGGAGAACGCTTCCACGTTTGCCGGCACTCACCATCCCTGGACGTTCTCCGGGTCGTCGCACTGGAGCGAGTCCACGTTGAAGACAGTGCCCAGACTGCAGCCGTAGGGCCTGGCCTGGCCCTCGATGCACACGTAGAACTTGCGGCAGTCAGTCGGGTGGGCGTGCCTGGTGAACACGCCTGGCTGGTCCACGTCGGCAGGGTCCGGGCACACGAAGCCCTCAGCCACCTCTGCACGGCAATGGAGGTGCTTATGGTATAGAGGATTTTGACGCGCTGCCTCATCCATAGATACGTTTAAGAGCAACACAAGCAACAGCTGACGCTCAACGCTTTTAAATTAGATTATTTGACGTGTGAACACGTTTGAATAATGTCTCGTTTATTAGAGAGCTAGAGTAGGTAAACAAGAAACCATTAGTACTACAAGTACTTCTCAAAGTCATGCGATTATTATGTCTCAGAATCCGTTTATGTTTGCGCATTTTATTTAACGCAATACGTGTGGCTCTTTGCTTCATTAAAAAAATATATAGCGATTTTCCGCGATGTAAACTCTAAAACACAGTCAGTGCGAACGCTATTTCACGCTTGTTCATATTATTCGTTAGACTCGGCATAGATCAGTATACATTTTGTTGTGCTTGGCTTAGTACCTCGAGTGTTAACTTTTCATTACAGTAGTCGTTTTCATTAGTCTTTTGAGCCATCCTGATGTAATAAATTTATTCATTCATTCATTAGTCTTGAATGTGCAAAAAAAAAAAAAAAAGAAAACCAGGAGGAACCGGCGAGTAATGAAAGTTGGCAAAATGAAGAAGGATGGACTGGTCTTGGATTTTCACTTATACTGGCCGTTATTTGAAGCCTTGACGAAGAGCGGCGGCCGAAGTAACATCCGCGGATGCGCCGACGCGACTTCGATCGGGCAAGAAAGCACGAGTTTCTACGACCAAGAAACATTTATGATGGTGGTTGTTGAGTTTCGTCATCGACAGAGCTATGCGCCATATTTCAGAGATTTACAAACCCGACAAGTGGTATCAACGAAAAATCGCAGACATGTAATTGAACGGTGAAACTGCGGAGAAGATTCACCGGCAAAGTTGCAGACGAATTTCCGAAAACGTTACAGCGTTTCGTGAAGACCATTTCTTCGGGACGGTCGTTAAATTCTCGTATTATAAAATTGGTCAACGAAAAAAAAAAAGATTATGAGTTTTTGAGGAACTACTATAAACAGGAAATAGCTGGGCAAAAACAAGAAATCGCAGAAGGAACCCATTTCTTGCACCTTTCAGTCAACGAATAAAACAACGTAACTCCCAAATGCAATAGAGGTACCGCCACGTGAAAACAGTTTGTAGGCCGTTGTTATGACGTAACAGTCGTAAACGTCGTAACGGTCTTGTGGCAGACATACGAATAAAGACGGCTCATTGGCGAACAGAAGGGTGTAGACCCAACCGTAACGATGCGTTCATCCACAGTGTGGCAAGTGTCCTCATGATCGCCATATAATGAAGCAACAGCTTCTGGTTCACAAGGCCGTAGTGTTAAGTTTGTTACGTCACTTGCGGGAGGTCAGCGCGGTGAACATAGTGAGCACGAGCGCTGCTTCACGAGTCTCGGGTGAACACTGGCGCAGCATTTGTGTCCAATGTATGCCCCGCGCTGCCCTCCAAGAGATGACGTGGAAATTCCGCATAAGGGTTTTGCTAGAGTCATTGCCCTTGTTATCTAGATTGTGCTGAGCCATTGCTATGCAACCCTTTGGGCAGAAAATAGAATGCCGTAACGGCACCGAGGGCGTGACTTACCGCGCTGGTCGCAGCGGTCGACCATGTCGGCCCAGACGCAGACACGCTGGTCGTTGTCGTAGGCGAGGCCGGGAGGGCACTCGTACCTGGAGCTCTCGCCGTTCCAGCACGAGAAGAAGACGCGACAGTTGTTGTTGTCCGGGAAAATGCCGTACAGCCGCGGGCAGTTGGGGGTGCTGATCGGGGGCTCTGCACAGGACAAAAATGAAGTGTTGCTGGTAAGCAAAGAAAAGCTCAGTTGGGTCGGCCTTTGTCGTGCGTTTTGCATTATCAACTACTGGGCAGCTTTAGCAGGACGTGTTTGCTTCAAACAAAATTAGGAGCGGGAGATCTGGCTGCCATATGGAAGCATTCTAAAGTCTACGCAGAAGCGACGACAGGCAAAGGTCATATATACACTCTAAGAAATGCCTGCGCGCGTACTTACGCGCAAAACACTCGAAGAGTCAATATCTGTGACCTACAAAATCAGCTCACCGAATGATGAGGCGGAACATCCGTTTAGACCTAGAAATAATGTCTGCGCTGTGGCATTACGCAATGCAAAGCGTCATGCTTGCATTGCGTAATGCCATAGTGCAGACTTAATTTTGATGTCTAAACAGATGTTCCCTCTCATCATTCGCTGAGCTGATTTCGTAGATCGCAGAGATTGGCACTTCGAGTGTTTTGCGAATAAGTAGACGCGCAGGCCTTTCTTGGAGTGTAAGAAAAAAAGTACACCAATTACTAGTTGAACAGTTCAATGAGACACGTTATGACCTGCCGTTTTCAGGAAGATGATTTCTTAACAGATTAATATAAAGCAGAGATAAGTACGCCCATGTACATCGTGCACGCTCAGAGCAGTGCTCTTTGTAAGAAAATGCATTGTGGCACTGATGGGGCATCGACAGCTCACATTCTTTCCCAAAACAATCGCACGTGTTTCATTCGCTGCATGTTCCCATTATGCCCCGCGTTGGCTTTCATTACAGCAGGTAAAAATCGACTACTACGACTTTGCTTTCTAGGAGTTTTAGTTATTGCTGCCTCGCAATCTGGAAGGATAACAGAGTATGCTGACAGTTTTATTACATTATTGGTCTATAAACAATAACAAGAATAACGCGTGTGAGGCCAGATACACATATTACATCTTAAAGACGCCAGAGGTCGGTACAACTTCACAACATCCACCGAGAGTAAACTTATCGAATCTATCTCTCTACTCGCGGGGTCTCTGCTACCGATGTCGGGTCTTCGTCCTCCTTACGCTTCTAACGAGCAAACTTGCAATCCTCCGCAGATAGCCGCCGATGACCCGGCCGTTCGGTCGGCACTCTCTCTAGCCCACATCCGTCAGATAAGGGCGTTTTGCACCTGGGCCCTGGCGAGACTCCGCGAGTCGTCGTCGTCGGGTGGTGGTGGCACGGACACCAGAGTGCGCAAAACGGCCGACCCACTTCGTCCACTCCTCACAGGCACGGCCTCGATCGCCCGAGCCCGGAGCGAGGATTTCCCCACAATCATTTCGCCCTCGAGGTGCCACTCGGAAAAAGGGGTCCCAATCGCACGTTGACATCGCTGTACGGCACGCCGGTAGGAGCCGTTGCGAATGCAACGATGCACACGGGGACACCGATCCTCGGATTCCTCAGGATATCGGAGGAATTGACGAGGTGAAGAAATATTTTTGCGCACGTAGCACCTGCCTAAGGCGCCCACCATGAACGTTCGGAGGGTAAACGCGGCTATTTTGGTCCGCTGCCTGCCGTAAAAATGCTGGCCTCGTAATCGATTGCCCAATGGGGGCAAATTGCATAAGCCTTTCGGCGTTTACGCGGTCTCCTTCCTTCCGAAAAGAACCATATGGTCATTTTAGCAGTTATCAGGACTGTCCTCGAGACGTTCACTACTGTTGGAGTTATCGAAAATGTTCTACTGCTATCAGTAACGTCAGTACATTTTCGGAGCACCACAAACTATTACGCAAAACTCTTCCTCGCTTCCATTCTCCAAACAAAGACGTTTGTAATCTATATACCACTATATGGTTCATGTAAGAAGATGTCACACGTTCAACCGTTTTGAAATTTGATTTCTGTTTCAGCCTCATCTATGATGAGAAATTTAATTATCATCTTACAATCTGGGACAATCCAGGAACAGACCGTGGAATCAAATACAAGTGTTTGTTGTAGTCGCCAATGTATGTAGTTCAACATCCTACGGGTATGATCATGATTTCGAGCAACTGAAGCCATGAGCCATGCCCCAAAGACTCCTTGAGGAAGGGACCAACCAGGGCTCAAGTTCCCACTTCCGCGCTCTGAAGACAGAAGCACAGCCTCCACGCCACAAAGGCGGTCAGTACTGGAATTTCGGTACCTGAGAGGCACGTATGTCTAAGCATGCCGGTGATTTCATTCTTGTATTAGCCCTTACGCTTACCTAAGATAAACACCGTTCGCAAAAGTGAAGGCCACCAACTGCATCAAACTCAAGATGCGAGGTATTAGCTCGGATATGTTGCGGTGGCACCGGCTTATGGTTCTCATTGGTGACGTCAAAACCAGGATTTGCCTCGCCGCTACGTCACGCGTTGTGATCCTGGCTGCTTATCATCAGTTGCGAACGACACGTTTGGTGGTGGTGTGTACAAGGCATGGCGGACCTTGGAGTCATCTCTCCCTTAAACTGACACCATCGAGGTTGACAGTCTGATATTACTCTTATATCTGTCGATGAAAGCAGAATTGGTCTCACAAAATACGACATAGCGAGCGTTTGACCAATTGTAGAAGGCCGACAACAGCGACGCTTTTGGTTACGAAAGTCCCCGATACACTCGCCCGGCGAGACACGTATGCGAGGCTGGGCGTGCCTAAGAACCTTGAATCAAAGTGGTTATGCAAACATCAGTTCTGGGCCGGTGGACACGCCACTGGCGACGAACTCACCGAGGTCCGTTCGGTCCCCACAGGTCACCGAGAAGGGGTAGGCGCAGTTCTCGCGCAGCGGATCCACATCGTCGAAGACCAGGCCATTGCCACACGTCTTGAGACTCGCCGTTCCGTTGCTGCACGCGTAGTACTTGTCGCAGCTCTTGTGGTGCGGATAGAAGCCGAACTGGTCTGGGCAGTTGAAATCATCTCCGCGCTGGGCGGACACTGCAAGGACAAGCAGAGGATACAGCAATGAGTCGACGCACTCTGAGAAGTGGCCAGATAGCTTAAATTTTTGAGAGAAAAGAATGAAAGAGGTCACAACTTCCTGTAACGCCGATTTATAGCGCAGCTCTTGAGGAGGAGGAGGGGAGGGTACTGGGGGGAGGGTACGCCTCTCTTTCTCAACCGCACCCTTTCCTCCTCCCCTCCTTCTTCTTTCACGCGCGAAACGCGCGTTGTCACGTGACGTTTCGGGACGGTGCCGAAGCGTCATGGTGACGTTTCACCACGTAATTTCCGCCGAAGCGTCACCGTGACGTTTTGTCACGGTGACGTTTCGGCACGAGACTTCCACCAAAACGTCGTGTGACGTTTCGGCACGGGGCATTGGGACGTTTCCCATAATGCACCACGCGGTTACGCCGACGGCGACGCCGCTCAAGCCGGAAACGACGCCTAAGAACTGTGCTCTAAAACACAAACACATGCATACAGCACTTTGTACGGAAACAATGGTAAAAAGGCTACAGATTTATGATTTTAATTAAAAATAAGATATAGTGAAGTCAATTTAGTGGCAGATTGTATAAAAATCGAAGAGGCAGCTATGCTATTTTTATATAACGAAATACAGCTTAAACAAAGTTCACTTCTGGTATTTTTGAAACTCTAATGCACAATAAAAATTACTTAAAACAAGGAAGCCATTGATTTGAACTTGACTATGAAAGTATAACTATTCTTATAAAAATATTAATAACAGTGTATTTTTATTACACCTAATGGTGCAGCTAAGAAAAAAAGCCGCGCTACGAGACTTCACGAGTTCTCGGCCCCAGTACAATCTGCAGAAGCGTTGGAAATATCAATATCCAAACAAAAGCGTGCATAATCACAATGAAAAAAAAAATAGAAAACGTCACTGAGCACCTTATTAGTTGAGATTCGTGAATCAACACAAAACATACGTTTAAACTAAGAAAAATATTATCACATCAATCCATATATTCAAAATCATGCATGACAGAGCGCAATTCGCCCAGAGTTAATCTATCTATAAACACACCTTCAGAATGCAATACATTTAGAAGCTTTGGGATTCGGTATGCTAACATTTCCTTTCCAGTGTTTAGCCGACACGTTGGTACGTGCCAGTAATCTGGATTACGAATTTGGTACGCGGTACCAAATTCACACGCGGTATACACGTGCACGCGGTATTCTATAGTGAAGACTTCTCAAGGTCTTAGCCATTGGCAAGACGAACACATGGGTGTTAGTCCTCCAGCAAAATGGAAAGAGAGTACATCGAAGCATAGCTCTAATGCCATTCCAACTAGGAAGAGCATAACGTAAATTTCAGTATGGCGAAGGAGGTAGATGTTTTAATTGCTATTTGGCGTTACCTACTAAGCATCATTACGGATTTTATGCCTGAACAAAGTTAAAGGGAATAAAATGAAACATCTTCTAAAAGTGCAGTGGAACAATTTTTATTAATTTTAATAAATACTGCTCGGAATGAAGTCTTCACATTCATAACCCACGAAACACGTGTTAGTTTTTCTCTCCATACAGCGTCACCCATAAGAAAGAACAAAAAGAGTGAGTCAAACACGAGCAGCGTTCACCCCCTCACCTCAGAAAGAAAAGAAGCATCCAAACGATTTGGATGCAATTATGAGCCGCCAGTGCTCCTAATTCATAACCATGTTCTGAGATTGTCAAAGGATAAGACATAAGTTCAGCTACAGACGGTCTTAGAGTTCAGCTATTCCAGACATACCGGTGATTTAACATAAGCCAGGACCCACATTTTTTCCGAGGCATTGATTGCCACGAGCCGAACTCCATTCTCAAGCGGTGTTAGTCTTCAATCGATGGGCCGCAGTTCGCTACTGTAACCAAAACCAATGAGTAATCCACGCTACTACGTCAACGTTGCGATCCCTGCGCCTATGTCATCGAATTTTGCGAACGACAAACACAAAGGATTAGACCGATTTCTTTCATTTAGCCACAATGACAAAACTATTTGGTCAATTAATTTTTGTTCTAGTATAATTGGGACACGCAAGTGTAAGTAAACTTGGGCAAAGTGATGAGCATTCCAGCCCTATGGTCGCACGACATCTTTAAAAGGGACAAACCAACTCGAGTCATTGAACACTCACTGAGCAAGGCCCGCAGATAAGCATCGCGAAATATTTAGCGGAGGACAAATCAAGGGGATCTATTGAAGGACCGCTGGCGAAAGACATTAATAAGATAATGTTTGATCTCAAAAATTACGTCCAATCTATAACTCCTTGTGAGTGAAGGCTCCTGCTCTTCGTCCCGACACCTCTCGCAATTGCTTAGTTCAAACAGGCAATCCTTGGCTTCTGCAGCGTTTGCGGCATAAACCCCTTCACTTTAATAACACCCATACAAAAGTTTAGACTTGTCAATCTCTGATCGCCCTCCATGGATCGCAGTGACAGCGACTCCACGCCAGGTTTGTGGTAAGTAGAGACACGGAACGATCTTTAGACTGCAGTAAGTTGGACGAGTACGTGTATAGACTCTGCAATCGATGGCCCTGTGCTATGGTTCCGGGTGCCTTCTATTATATTCTTTGAACTCATAGCGTGTGAGTACTGATGCTCATAAATTATGAAACCACCAGTTGCATTTTGCTCTTTAGACGAAGTGTCGATAGTGCGAATTATTTCACAGCTGCCACAAGAGCAAAGCGCGTGTGAAGATAAGCTTGCAGATTTTGTGGTACAAAAGGTAAAAAACCAAAAATCTGCAAGATATTTTAGTCTTACCAACAGTCGCCCAGCAAACCTAATTCTGAAATCATCAAAAGAGTACTGGCGTTCTCTCTCTTTAGGTTTATCAGAACATTTGGTTTCACACGTGAAAGACAAGAACGAAAACAGACTGCAAGAGCGAGAGGCATGAGACTGAAACGTTTTCGGTGTACCAAGGAATTATTTGCTAAATCAAGATGAAGCGAAATATCAAACCGGTCGCAGATTGGCCTAATGTAAAACTGCTTAGCTTCAGGCTGCGTGCTAACAGATGTAACTTTACTGCCTTAAAAAGAAACTTGCTTTTTCCCAAAATATACAAATCTTAGAAGATTTATCCCACGTATTCATAGCGCCTGCTCATAGATAAAAAGAAATAGACAAAAATTCGTTCTCGATATTGCTCACATTTGCTTACATCTCTTCCAGGACTCAATACTCGTAGATATGAATGAGATTCTTTGTAGGAAACGTATAAACCTATTTCTCTAGGACGCAGAGACGATAAAACCAGGAAACTCGCGACGAGTCTTTAAATGTCTTCCTTTGCGAGTATCTGGATTTGAGCCTGAGTAATGTGTCAACGGCACATTAATCGTTTTAATAGGGTTTCAGGGTGAATGCCTCAACGCGTGCGTTTCTCAAGTTTATCCAAACGCTTGAAAGCCTAGCCGTTGCTGCTTCCGGGTTTAAAAATAATACGTATGTGTTGCAGAAACTGCGGGAAGGAAGTTTTCAAGGGGCCACGCGATATACGCCCCGCTAAAGATATGACCATGGTTTTCCTTGGATGTCAAATGCGTAGTTTATGGAAATGTTCACGGCGGGTCACGTGCTGTATGGGAGAATATATGCACTGCTAAAATTAAGCGTTTCTATTTAGGCATGATATGCAGTTAGGATAGGCACTCTGACATTATTTTTATATTGTATCGAGACAGAAGGATAACGGATTCTTGATTGCTGGTTAAGTAAGTTTCCAAGAAAAAATAATTGGCCGAAAATATAAAGGTATATTACAGGTCTTGAACCGGATATATCCATGGAAGTTGCAATAATAAAAAAAAAAGTATGCTAAGTTGGACACATTTTTTTCACACTGCATAGCACATAGGACAGTGCTCCTCAACCTCTGTAACCATGCGACCCATCAGAAATCTAAAATATTGCGTCACATTGAATTCGGAGCCTCGCGGCATCGTAGGTATAGGAACATAGCTTTGTAGTCCTAAGAATAAAATACAAAGCTATGTTCCTACCTAAGCCGTCACGACCAGGTTTGTTTCAGTAATTACGATTCCTACTTAATACCAGTTCCGAACTACAAGTTAAGTGGTTCGTGTAAAGGGCATGGTGAAAGCTTGGAGTGATCGCGTTCTTAAAACAGCACCGTAAGAATTGGCGAACCCTGCAGTATTAGCGATTTTTGTCGATGAAATCGGTGGGCATCCAACTCTATCATGGTGGGCTTTTGATGAATCGTCGAAGGCTGGCCACCGACACATTAATCTTTCTCCTCCTGGTCGTTACAAATTCTGGGCAGTACAACAGAAGGAACGCATCTACTCTGAAGTCTGTGGTGGTGGCGCTTTCTGAACTGCTCGCTAGGGACCGTGCTATTAGACCCAGGGCTCGTGCCCTGGACGCTAAATACCTCACTAGGCAGCAAGTGCCACTGCGATGCAGTACACTCTGAAAAAAGCTCGTGCGTCAGCTTTCTCGCACAAGACTCGAAGAGCCAATCACCGCCACTTACGGAGGAACCTCAGCGAATGACGACGCAGGAACATATGTCGGGACCAAAAAACGCACTCTGAGTTGTGACATTAAGAAGTGCAAAATGTCACGCTTGCATTGCTTAATGTCACAACTCAAACTGCGTTTTTTGGTCTTAACATATGTTTTGGCATCATAACTCGCTGAGCCGCCTCCGTAAGTTGCGGTGATTGACTTTCCGAGAGTTGTGCGGAAAAGTAGACGCCCGGGAATTTTTTAGAGTGATAGCAGCCAAAAGCCTTTTTTTTCTACTTTGCTATAAAAGTTAGCCTAAAATAGAAACGCCAAAAAGCTGACAGTTTTCTCACTGTATTACACCTAGTAGAGAGTAAAAACAAGAATTACCTTGAACGTGAACATATATATCTGTTTGGGAGGCTTTTTTAAAATTTAATTTTGCATTCTGGCGTCTGGATGGCATCCCGTTCG